GTACAGGTAGGGATGGGGCAGTGGACGGGGAGAAGCAGGTGGGGCAAAAGGAGGAGAGGGAGGAGGATGAGGAGGGGGCGCAGGAAGGCATTTGAGGAACGTCGGCAGGAGCGGGCGGGCAGCGTGGACCCTCGGGAACCCTCCCTCGCTGGGGAAACTGAGGCAGGGAGTGGGGACACCCCATCCTGGGGGACTCGGGGGTCTCACCGCACCCCGTCCCCTCGCAGTGAGCGAGTGCCACCCCCGTCCCCCGTGAGCCCGGCCATGCCCAGCGCCGCGGTGCCACCGGGGGGGCTCCCCATGATCCCGGCCGAGGGCTCGGCGCTGCTGCGCGCTGTATCCCAAGGGAAATTCCGCCTGACCCGCCTGCTGCTGGAAGGGGGAGCCTACATCAACGAGGGCAACGCCGCGGGCACCACGCCGCTGATGGCAGCGTGCCGGGCCGGCTACGCCGAACCGCCCGAACAGCCGCGGATGGTCCAGTACCTCCTGGAGAACGGAGCCGACCCCAACATCCCCGACAAAGCCGGCAAAACCGCGCTCATGCACGCCTGTGCCGAGCGAGCCGGCCCCGCGGTGGTCGCCACTTTGCTGGCCCACGGTGCCGACCCCAGCGCCCGGGATTACGGCGGGGGCTCGGCGCTGGTTTACGCCCTGGAGCGCGGGGACCGGGAGACGCTGCAGGTGCTGCTGGACGCGTGTCGGGAGCGCGGGCGCGATGTCATCATCATCACCTCGGCCACGTCGCCCCGAGGCACCAAGACCACCCGGCAGTACCTGAACTCGCCGCCGTCGCCCGCTCTGTGCGCGTCCCCGTCGCAGGTGCAGGTGCGGGCGGCGGCGTCGCCGGGAGCCACCGGGAGGGATGAGGAGCGCGATGTGTTCCGCTTCCCACCCGCTCCAGAACCGGCCCGGGCCGGGCCCAAGCGGCAGCTGAAGAGGCTGAACTCGGAGCCGTGGGGGCTGGCGGTGCCGGGGATGCGCGGGGGACACTCGGAGGGGACACAGGGAAGCGCGGAGGGGACACAGGGACCCCCAGAGGGAGCACGGAGAGCCTTAGACGAGATACTGGGACCCCCGGAGGGGACAAGGAGACCCTTGGAGGGGACACGGGGACCCTCAGAAGGGTCATGGGGGTCTCCTGAGGGGTCACCGGAAGGGACATCGGTCCCCCCGGAGCGGCTGGCGGCGGGGCTGGAGGGGCTGCGGTTGCGCCCTCGCCGGCACAGCGTGGAGGGACGCGAGGTCTCCGGGCTGCCAGCAGCCACCTGGGCAGAACGCGTGCCCCCCGCGCCCGCTCCGGGGCGTTTCCCTCCCGATCCTCCACGGGGCAAACCTTTACGCCGAGAACCTGCCAACCCCGAGCTAGGCACCCCTCCCGGGCCGCTCCGGCACGGGGCTGCGCTGCTGGAGCGCCGCGGCTCCGGAACGCTCGCCCTGGAGCCGCCCGGGCCGGGCAGGGCCGGGCTGCTGCCCCCGCTGCCCCCCCGAGCGCTGCTCCGCCGCCACTCCATGCAGCCGGAGGCGCTGCGGCACCTTCGGGGGCTGGCTCCCGAGCCTGGCTCTTAGGGACCCCTCCCCGGCGTTCTAGAGACCCCCCCACCCAAAGCTAGGGTCCCTTGGGGAAAGCCTCGCCCTGGGTGGGGGTTTGCTCTGAACCCTGCTGAGGGTCGACTCTTCCATCCCTCTGTCGGCACAAACTCTGCACGAGCCCGAATTTGGGGAGCTGGTGGGTGCACCCCAACTCCCAGGCCCCCCCCACCCCAGTATCCTGCTCCTGCCTCATTTTCCCAGCAGCTTTTTCCCCCAGGGTCTGGCATTAAAGGCCCCAGGGCAGCTCAGTGGCTCTGAGTGGGCACATCTGTGGGCTTGGGGGCACAGCTGTTGCATCCCAATGCCAGTTTTAAGTGGAAAAAATGGTTTTTCAAGACCTGAGTTGTTCTAATGCCAGGCTGAGAGGGATCCTCAGGATCCTTGGGGATCCAGCAGCTTGGATGGAGAAGGATTTTAGGGAAAGGGGCTTGGGAGATTTAATGAAGGACAAAGAACAAGAAGACAAACTTAGACAAAATCTCGTTATTTGACACAAAACAAGGAATGCCCAGTGGGATAAATACCATGGGAGATTTAGAGACCATTTGCCTGGGGCATGGAAGAAACTCCCAGAATATTCTGGGATGGGAGGCTGGGAGGGATCCCCCCAAAGCCAAGGGAAATCCCCCCAACCCTCAGAAACTGCTGCTTCCCTCATACTTGTCCTTTGAAAACAATAAAATTCCATAAAACCCACATTCCTCCAGGGATGAGGAGCTGGTTTGGCTCCTCGAGGCTGTGTACAGAGCCCAGTTTTCCCAGTTTCCCCCCAGTTTGGAGGTGGAACACCAATGGGTGGAGGTTTGGATCCATCACCGGCGGCGTCGGTCCGGACTGCGGCTCCGCCGGCGCCCGCCCCTGGGAAACAGGGAAAAGGTGGGGAAGGGAAAGGGGAAAAAAAGGGGAAAAAAAGGGGAAAAAAAGGGGAAAAGAGAAAAAGGGAATGGGGAATGGAGAGAGAGAAAGGGGGAAAGGGAAGGAAGGGGGAGGAAAGTGGAAATGGGGGTAAAGAGGGTAAGGGAATGGGGAAAGTAAAGAAAGAAAAGGGAAAAAGGGGGAGGAAAAAGGGGAAATGAGAGGGAAAAGGGTACAGGAAATGGGGAAAGGGAGAGAAAGGGGTATAGGAAATGGCAGAAAGGGAAAAGGGAGGGAAAAAAAGTACAAGAAATATGGGAAAGGAATGGGAAAAGGGTACAGGAAATTGGGAGAGGGAAAAGGGTACAGGAAATGGGAGAAAAGAATGGGAAAAGAGTACATGAAATAGGGGAAAGGAATGGGAAAAGGGTACAGGAAATTGGGAGAGGGAAAAGGGTACAGGAAATGGGAGAAAAGAATGGGAAACGAGTACAAGAAATAGGGGAAAGGAAAGGGAAAAGGGTACAGGAAATGGGGGAAGGAATGGGAAAAGGGTACAGGAAATAGGGAAAAGGAAAAGGGAGAGAAAAGGGTACAGGAAATGGAAGAAAGGAAAGGGAAAAGGGTACAGGAAATGGGGGAGAGAGGGAAGGGAGGCATTTTGGGGTGTTTACCCCTATTTTAACCCCACCACCCCCATAACTGCGCATGGAATTCCCCCATTCCCCTCGCCCACAGGTCCCTCCCACTGCCAGCTCCTGGGATTCCCAGGAATTCCCAGGAATTCCCAGGAATTCCCTCACCTCCTCTTGCCCTTGGGAGGGCCCCTGACGAAGCACCAGTCCACGCTGACGGGCTGCCCCATGAGCTCCTGCCCGTTGAGCCCCTCCATGGCTGCCTGCGCCTCCTTGTAGGTCTCGTACTCCACCAGCGTGTAGCCCTGGGGTGGGAACGGGGCAGGAATGGGATGGGAATGAGACAGACACCAGGGGAGCCCAGCTTTGGGGGGCACCGACCCCCCAGCACCCCGGGTTTAGTGATGGGAATGAACCCAGCTCAAATTTGGGGTGCACAGACCCACTAGCACCCCAGGTTTAGGACTGGGAATGAGCCCAGCTCAGCTTTGGGGAGCACAGACCCCCCAGCACCCCGAGTTTAGTGATGGGAATGAGCCCAGCTCAGCTTTGGGGGGCACCAACCCCCCAGCACCTCAGGTTTAGGATTGGGAATGAGCCCAGGTCAGCTTTGGGGGGCACCAACCCCCCAGCACCTCAGGTTTAGGATTGGGAATGAGCCCAGGTCAGCTTTGGGGGGCACAGACCCCCAGCACCCCGGGTTTAGTGATGGGAATGAGCCCAGCCCAGCTTTGGGGGGCACAGACCCCCCAGCACCCCGGGTTTAGGATTGAGAATGAGTCCAGCTCAGTTTTGGGGGGCACAGACCCCCCAACACCCCAGGTCTAGGACTGAGAATGAGCCTGGGCACAGGGGGAATTCCCAGCTAAAATTTGGGGTGCACAGACCCCCCTAACACCCCGGGTTTAGTGATGGGAATGAGCCCAGCTCAGTTTTGGGGTGCACAGACCCCCCAACACCCCGGGTTTAGTGATGGGAATGAGCCCAGCTCAGTTTTGGGGGGCACAGACCCCCCCCTCAACACCCCAGGTTTAGGATTGGGAATGAGCCCAGCTCAGCTTTGGGGTGCACAGACCCCCCAGCACCCCAGGTTTAGGATTGGGAATGAGCCCAGCTCAGTTTTGGGGGGCACAGACCCCCCCCTCAACACCCCAGGTTTAGGATTGGGAATGAGCCCAGCTCAGCTTTGGGGGGCACAGACCCACTAGCACCCCAGGTTTAGGAATGAGGATGAGCCCAGACACCAGGGGAACTCAAATTTGGGGTGCACAGACCCCCTGACACCCCAAGTTTAGCGCTGGGAATGCCCCCAGGCATTGGGGAAATCCAGCTCCCAGCTCAGTTTTGGGACCTCCCAATAAATCAAATTTTGAGGTGCAGATACTCCCAGAACCCCCAGAATTGGCTCAGTTTGGGGGGCACCCCTAGCACCTCCCACCCTGGAGCATCCCCCAGGCTGAGATGGAGCTTGGGGGGGGTCCCCAGAGGTGCCCCCTCCCCACCTTCAGGTATCCCGTGCGCCGGTCCAGGTTCAGGTGGATGTTTTTGATCTCCCCAAATTCAGCAAATCTGTCGTGCACGTCCTCCTCCGTGGCCTCCTCGTGCACCCCTGTCACAAAGAGGATCCAGCCCTCCACGGCTGGGCAGGAAAAAGGGGGGGTCACAGAGCTGGGAATGGAGCTTCACCCCCCAAAATCCTTGGGGAGGGGGGACACGGAGCCCCCCCAGGGGTGAGATTTGGGGCTCCACGTCCGTGTGAGATGGGGCCAAAGTGATGCTGGGAAGGTGGGGAGCAATCATCCCACGTGGCCCCAGTTCCTCCTCCTGGCTGTGCTGGGTCCCCAAAAAAGGCCTTGGCACCCCAAAATCACTCCTTTTTCCCAGCTAGGAAGGGAGGATTGAGGCCCAGAGCCCCCAAATCCTGGGGGAGGTTGGGAAGAGCTCATCCCAGCAGGGCTGAACCCAAATCCAGATGCCATTCCCATGGGGAAAGTGCTGCTGGTGACACTTGGAGGGGCCACGGGGCCCTCAGGAAGGAGCATCTCCCCCAAATTTCCCCATTCCCACCTTGGGAAGGGGACGTGGAGCTGGGGTTTGCCCTAAAATAAAATCCTGGGAATGCAAAGACATTGTCCCAGCCTAAAATAAATCCTGGGAATGAGGGAAGGGATTGCCCCAGCCTAAAGAAATCCTGGGAATGAGGGAAGGGATTGTCCCAGCCTAAAGAAATCCTGGGAATGAGGGAAGGGATTGCCCCAGCCTAAAGAAATCCTGGGAATGAGGGAAGGGATTGTCCCAGCATGAAATAAATCCTGGGAATAAGGGAAGGGATTGCGGAGGATTGAGGCCCAGAGCCCCCAAATCCTGGGGGAGGTTGGGAAGAGCTCATCCCAGCAGGGCTGAACCCAAATCCAGATGCCATTCCCATGGGGAAAGTGCTGCTGGTGACACTTGGAGGGGCCACGGGGCCCTCAGGAAGGAGCATCTCCCCCAAATTTCCCCATTCCCACCTTGGGAAGGGGACGTGGAGCTGGGGTTTGCCCTAAAATAAAATCCTGGGAATGCAAAGACATTGTCCCAGCCTAAAATAAATCCTGGGAATAAGAGAAGGGATTGTCCCAGCCTAAAGAAATCCTGGGAATGAAGGAAAGGGATTGTCCCAGCCTAAATAAATCCTGGAATGGGAATGGGAATGGGGAAGGGATTGTCCCAGCCTAAAATAAATCCTGGGAATGAGGGAAGGGATTGTCCCAGCCTAAAATAAATCCTGGGAATGAGGGAAGGGATTGCCCCAGCCTAAAGAAATCCTGGGAATGAAGGAAAGGAAAGGAAGGGATTGTCCCAGCCTAAAATAAATCCTGGGAATGAAGGAAGTGAATTTCCCAGCCTAAAGAAATCCTGGGAATGAGGGAAGGGAAGGGATTGTCCCAGCCTAAAGAAATCCTGGAATGGAATGGGAATAGGGAAGGGATTATCCCAGCCTGAAATAAATTCTGGGAATGAGGGAAGGGATTGTCCCAGCCTAAAGAAATCTTGGGAATGAAGGAAAGGAAGGGAAGGGATTATCCCAGCCTGAATAAATCCTGGAATGGGAATAGGGAAGGGATTATCCCAGCCTGAAATAAATCCTGGGAATGAGGGAAGGGATTGTCCCAGCCTAAAATAAATCCTGGGAATAAGAGAAGGGAAGGGATTGTCCCAGCCTAAAGAAATCCTGGGAATGAGGGAAGGGAAGGGATTGTCCCAGCCTAAAGAAATCCTGGGAATGAGGGAAGGGAAGGGATTGTCCCAGCCTAAAGAAATCCTGGGAATGAGGGAAGGGAAGGGATTGTCCCAGCCTAAAGAAATCCTGGGAATGAGGGAAGGGATTGCCCCAGCCTAAAGAAATCCTGGGAATGAAGGAAAGGAAAGGAAGGGATTGTCCCAGCCTAAAATAAATCCTGGGAATGAAGGAAGTGAATTTCCCAGCCTAAAGAAATCCTGGGAATGAGGGAAGGGAAGGGATTGTCCCAGCCTAAAGAAATCCTGGAATGGAATGGGAATAGGGAAGGGATTGTCCCAGCCTGAGATAAATCCTGGGAACGAGGGAAGGGATTGTCCCAGCCTAAAGAAATCTTGGGAATGAAGGAAAGGAAGGGAAGGGATTATCCCAGCCTGAATAAATCCTGGAATGGGAATAGGGAAGGGATTATCCCAGCCTGAAATAAATCCTGGGAATGAGGGAAGGGATTGCCCCAGCCTGAAGAAATCCTGGGAATGAGGGAAAGTATTGTCCCAGTCTAAAGAAATCCTGGGAATGAGGGAAGTGAATTTCCCAGCATTAAATAAATGCTGGGAATGAGGGAAGGGACTGTCCCAGCAGGGCTGCAGAGCCCCAAATCCCCACCTTGGGAAGGGGATATGAAACTGGGATTTGCCCTAAAATAAATCCTGGGAAAGAGGCAAAGGAAGGGATTGTCCCAGCCTAAATAAATCCTGGAATGGGAATGGGAATAGGGAAGGGATTGTCCCAGCCTAAATAAATCCTGGAATGGGAATGGGAATGGGGGAAGGGACTGTCCCAGCTTAAATAAATCCTGGAATGGGAATGGGAATAGGGAAGGGATTGTCCCAGCCTGAAATAAATCCGGGGAATAGGGAAGGGATTGTCCCAGCCTAAATAAATCCTGGAATGGGAATGGGAACAGGGAAGGGATTGTCCCAGCCTGAAATAAATCCGGGGAACAGGGAAGGGATTGTCCCAGCAGGGCTGCAGAGCCCCTCGAAGCCCTGCAGGTGCCCCTCACATCTCTGTGGCCCCGGCTCGTCCCCGTCCTGCTCCACGCTGTCGTAATCTTCGCGCACCCGAGCGCGGGATCCTTCCTCTGCAAACAAAAAAAAGGGGGGAAGGAGGGGACCCCCAAACTGCAGGGGTCACCCAGAGCGCCAGGGAAGGGGTTTGGGGGTGGCTGGGGGGGGTCTCACCTGAGCCGAAGCCACGGCCCTTCCTCTTCTTGGCCTTTTCTTTCAGCTTGTGGATGCTCTCTGGTGGGAATTGGGGGGTTTGGGGTCAGCAGGAGCAGGGAGCCCCCCAAAAGGGACAGGGACCCCTCGTCCTGGCTGGGAAGGGTTGGGAATGAGCCCCTGGGAATGAGACCTGGGTTGGGAATGAGCCCTGGGAATGAGACCTAGGATTGGGAATGAGCCCTGGGGCGGGAATGAGCCCCTGGGAATGGAATGAGCCCTGGGAATGGGAATGAGCCCCCTGGGAATGGGAATGACACCCCTGGGAATGAGCCCTGGGGAGGGAATGAGCCCCTGGGAATAGGAATGAGTCCTGGATTGGGAATGAGCCCTGGGATTGGGAATGAGCCCCCTGGGAATGAGCCCTGGGAATGGGAATGATGTCCCCGCGTCATTAAAAACCCATCCAGGCTGGGCAGGACCCCTTGGGCTGGGCAGGACCCCCTGTGGGAATAGGAATGAGCCCTGGGAATGGGAATGAGCCCCCTGGGAATGGGAATGAGCCCCCTGGGAATGAGCCCTGGGAATGAGCCCTGGGGATGGGAATGATGTCCCCGGGTCATTAAAAACCCACCCAGGCTGGGCAGGACCCCCCAGTCCAGGCAGAGCCACCCCCGGCCAAGCCAGGACGGTCTCCCCGTGATGGGAATGATCCCCCCGGGCCGGACGGGACCCCAAACCCCCAGGAATAACCCCGTGAGCCGGGAACGGACAGCAGGACCCATGTGCCATACCGGGAGTGACCCCCGAGCCAGGAGTGACCCCCCCAGCACCGAGCAGGAGCCCCCTGCGAACGACAGCAACCCCCGCCCCGGGCCCGGGCTGTCCCTGAGGCCGACGCGGCCAGAGGCGGCGGGAGCGGCTCCGCTGAGCCGGGACCCGACCGGATCGGTCGGCAGGGCCGCTCTGGGCCGGACGGGATCGCTCCAGCCCCGCGCTCACCGTCCCCGTCCTCGTCCATAGCGAAATCCTCTCCGCCCGCCTCATGAAGATCCAGCACGTCCGCCATCTTGCCGAGAGTAGCGGGGCACGCCGGGAGCGCGCCGGAAGTGGGAGGGAGTGGGCGGAAGTACCGGCGCGGCCATATTGGGGAGGGATTGTGGCAGAAAGTACCGGCGCGGCCATATTGGGAAGGGCCCTGGGCGGAAGTGCCCTTTCCGCCATGTTGGGAAGGTCGTGCCGCCATTTTGAGAAGGTCGGGCTAGTTCTTTTTTGCTCCGGGAATTTCGAACCCCCAGGTTTTGAACCCCGGGAATTTCGAACCCTGGGGTTTGAACTTCGGGAATTTCAAATCTCAGAAATTTCGAACCCCCAGGTTTTGAACCCCGGGAATTTTGGACCACACACCGACACGGCTCAAAGCATTTTTGGCACAACTGGCCCCCCCAAAAAAACGAGCAAGAGCACCAAAGTTAATAAAAAATCGCTGGGTTTATTGTATAAAATCCACAGCAGTGTTTATCCCGTAATTCCACTGCCTCAACAAGGAGCACGACTTTCTCTGTACTGAGAAAATTTGAATTTTGTTAATTTTACGCCTTCCACAGAGATCTGGAGCCTTCAAACTGTCTCCTCGATCCCACAAGCAATAGAATGTCTGGTTTTTTCCCTTTTGTTTTTATTTTTTTTTCCTTCCACAGTGATGGAACTCCTAAAGTCCTCCCAGACTTGTTGATTTGGAGCATAAAGAACTGGGAGGAGCTTCAGGGATTCCCTTAGGTTTAAAATCCTTTGCAGGATTAAAACCCGTTATTCCTAAATCAATTTTTTTCCAATCTTTCAGGAAAATTACACCCCACAACCCCCACCCCCATCCCTTTAAAATCCAATTTCCAGCGACATCAAACGTTAATAGTGTTTGTAGAAAGTATAAAAAATATATAAACCCCCAAAATAAGCTTGTTAGGATGTGGATATAAAAATGGGGTACCTACAAATAATGGAATTATTCCACTTTTATCCTAAAACAATGATTATTGCTGGAATATCCTGTGGTCAGGCAGAGGGAAGAAGGAGGGTGGGAATAGTAGAATCTGCAGGGTTTAAAGAGATAAGAAGAGGGAAAAGCTCTCAGCTAGGGTGAAAAAGGAATTCTGGCTTGTAATTCAGTTTGTATTCCCAGTCTACTGGGAAAAAGGGGAGTAAGATGGAAATTTCCATGGATAAATTGACATTTTCTTGAGTGAACTCGGAGCTGTTTGAACAATTCCATGCCATAAAAGGGGTTTTAAAGCTAAATATAGTCTAAATTCCACATGGATACAAGGGATAAGGAATGATTAGTGCAAATCCCTCCCTCATCCACAAACTCTCCAAGATTTTTCCCATCTTCCAATGCTAGTATTTGGCTCCAGACAGGGCAATTCCAGGGGGGAACTGCAAATCCTGCTGTGCTTGGGACTGGAATGCTGCAGGTCGATCCCAGATTTAACTCCAAAATTAAATCTGGATATTGCACATGTTGGCATCCACTCATTTAATTAAGGAGCTCATCAAGAAGCTCTAATTGATCCCTTTCTGCTACAGGAGGGAGGGGATCCAATGGGTTTTTCCAGAGGAAACACTGGATTCCATAGAATCCCGACTGCTCCAGCAATGAGGGAGTGAGGAGAGGACAAAACCTGGGATTTGAACCCCGAAAATAAGGGAGAGGAAAAAATCTGTAGGGATTATGAGGGAATAAAAAGTTCCCTAGGGAATAAGGAGTTCTCAAGGGAGGAATGAGGGAATGAGGAGCAGCTCTAAAAACCAGGATGAAACTGCTAGAATCCATTCAGGAGCTTTTTCCCTAAATTTCTTCTAAATGTGCAAATGGGCTGGGATTTGGGGAAGGGTTTTGGGATCACCAGGGGTGGGATTTTTGGGGTTCAGCAGCCAGAGGAGTGTGCTGAGCCCAGCTGGCCAGCTGCCAGCAGCAGGATGTCCTTCTTCTCCTTGTGGAACCTCAGCTCCTTCCCGGCCAGCCGGGCCTCGTCCAGCTCGCGCTCGGTGGCCGCCAGCTCCCGGGAAAGGGCTCCTGGAATGTTCTGCTCCCGGTTCACCCAGTCCAGGGCCATCTGGTTTCGGATGTCATCGTCCAGAGCACGGTGGGAGTAGTGAGCCAGGACCTCCTGGTGGGAATGGGAGGCAGAGAATTGGTTAAAATTGGGAAAAAAAACCTTATGGGATGCAATAGAATCATTAAAATAGGGGGAAAACCTTAAGGGAATGATGCTTTGTGAAGGTTGAGCTAGAACAGAGGTTGGGCAGAGTTAATTAATAAAGTAGGGATTTATTAAAAGGATATTCTCAATGGATGCACCTTGGGCAGTGCGAGAGACCAGGCGGGGTCTACACCCAAGATGAACCAAAATGGTCACAAAATGAACCAAAAATGGTCACAAAATGAACCCAAGATGAACCAAAACGGACACCCGGTCACAGGGTCTCTCACTTTTATAAGTTCTGGTCCATTTGCATATTGGAGTTAATTGTCCAATTACAGCTCCACCCCACATGAACCAAAATGGACACCCGGTCACAGGGTCTCTCACTTTTATAAGTTCTGGTCCATTTGCATATTGGAGTTAATTGTCCACTTACAGCTCCACCCCATAAAGTCCAATTTTTCTTGTTTTCTCTCTTCAGTCCACATTGTTTATGCTCTTGGGCCTGAGATTTGGGTCATTTGTCCTCCACAAGGCATCAGGGGAAGCTCAGGAATGGGAAGGAGCAGCGGGATGGAGTTGGGACTCACCTGGCGTGAGCACTGACGTTCCCTCATGGCCTTCAGGCTCCCATTCCAGTGCAGCAGCTGGAAAACTGTCATCAGCTCCTGGGATGGCAAGAGGGAGGGTTTAAAACACAAAACCACCATTTCTGCATGTGCTGGGATTGCTCAGAGCTGGGTGACTCCCACTTCTGTGTTTTGGTACCATAAAATGTTCTTTAATGCATGTAAATAAACTCTCATAAATGGTGGTGGTACACACAGCAGCAGGCTGAGAGAATATAGTGATTTAGGCACCTCATTAAGGAATTCCCCCAGTCTTTGGGGGAAACATCTCATCTTGTGGAGCTCTTGCTCCCCTGTTTTCAGGGATGAATCTCACTAATTAACTGTACTACTGCAATTAGGACATTTGGAAATATCACAGTGACAGTGAGAAACCCAATTCCCAGGATAATACTGGAATTACCCCAAATCTGATCTGAATCAAAGGGAAACCCCGAGTTTATTCCCCATGGAAAAAACTGAAAATAGACCTGGGAGACCAACCCAAACATCCCTTAACCAAACCAGGAGTGGGACCTGGGTAGAAGAGGAACAGGATCTGCACAAACTGGACACAGCACCTGGAATTCCAGCATGGATTTTCCCTTGTTGGACTCCAGCATGAAGCGGAAGGCCCCGATCCCAGTGTTGGGATTATCTGCCTCTTCTCGGTTGCCCTGCAGAGAAATTCCAGCTATGGAGCTGCCATTCTCATTCCTGGGAATTCCCAATCCTGGAATTCCCAGTGGGATTCAGGAGAGCCTAATGCCAGCACAGGATGAGCTGTCACACGTGAATGTGACAGCCTGGTCAGACGGAGAGAAGCTAAGTAAGTTTTCCCAGAACTGACCTGGGAAGCTTTAGGGAGATAAACAGTGATAGCCAAATATTAAAAAGAATCTGCAGTTGATGGTTTTTAACAATCTGTTTTGCATGGAATTAGAAAAAAAAGTTTAGAAATTAGAAATAATTAGCTTCTGATTGTGATGGTGTGAATTATAACATTTGTCTGTATTGCCTCACCCTACACACGAGACTGAAAACGGAATAAAATTTTTTAAAACGCCTCTAAATTACCCCATCTCTGGGTCAGAAAATGGCTTAATCTGACCCAAAAAAAGACCAACCACGACACCCATGCTCACGTTGAAGGACGCCAGGGCCTCGGAGACACTCTTCTCGATGAAGTCGTCGGTGATGCGGCGGGAGGGGTGCTCGTTGAACACGGAGTTCATCAGCGCGATCTTGGCCGCGCTCCGGCGCGCCTCGGCCTTGGTGGGACAGAACTGGGGACACACGGCCACGCTGGGGACACCCCCAGCACCTCCACGCCCCCCCCAGAGCACCAGGAATGGGGGCTGGGCGGGGGCAATTAGGAAATGACACCCCCAGAATCAGAACTGCCAGTTGCGTTGGCGATTAATTTGATTTAATTCATTTTTTCAGACCCAAAGTGTTCCCAAATCTGCCCCAAAGACCAGGATTTTGGGACAGAACCAAAAGAGGTTCAGAACCTCCTGTTGCACAGTCAATTAATTAATTTAATTAATTTTTTCAGACACAAACTGTTCCCAAATTCTCCCCTGAGACCAGGATTTTGGGACAGAACCATAAGAGGTTCAGAACCTCCCATTGCATTCTCAACTAATTAATTAAATTTAATTTAATCCTGGGAAGGAGGAGAAAGAATCACATCCTGGGAAGGAGGAGGAAGGGGATCAAACTCTGGGAAGGAGAAGGAGGGATCTAATCCTGAGAAGGAGAAGGAAGGATCAAATCCTGAGAAGGAGATGGAAGGATCTAATTCTGGGAAGGAAAAGGAAGGATCACATCCTGGGAAGGGAGGATCTAATCCTGGGAAGGAAAAGGAAGGATCAAATCCTGAGAAGGGAGGATCTAATCCTGGGAAGGAAAAGCAAGGATCACATCCTGGGAAGGAGAAGGAAGGATCACATCCTGGGAAGGAGAAGGAACGATCACATCCTGGGAAGGAAGGATCTAATCCTGGGAAGGAAAAGGAAGATCAGATCCAGCCAATCCAACAGTTTTCCCTGATATCCCATCTCCTATTTCAGCACTAAATTGTAAGTGACCAGAATAGGCAATAAAGGACACCAAAAACCCACAATCCACAGACAAATCTTCCCAGACTGGGACCTGAGAAGGAAGGATCACATCCTGGGAAGGGAGGATCTAATCCTGGGAAGGAAAAGGAAGATCAGATCCAGCCAATCCAACAGTTTTCCCTGATATCCCATCTCCTATTTCAGCACTAAATTGTAAGTGACCAGAATAGGCAATAAAGGACACCAAAAACCCACAATCCACAGACAAATCTTCCCAGACTGGGACCTGATGGCAATTTACACACCACCAGCAGCTTGCAATTAAATCTCCTTGCAACTAAAGAGGTTTAGAGCCAGATTCAGGAAAGAGAACGCCCAGCAGGGAGGAGATATTTGGGAAAGGATCCCGGCGGGGTCTGGGAGAGGCATTCCCGGGGTGGGGATTGTACCTGGAAGCTGCCAAAGCAGCTGCCCATTGCCAGGGTGACAGGAGAGGCATTCCCGGGGTGGGGATTGTACCTGGAAGCTGCCAAAGCAGCTGCCCATTGCCAGGGTGACACGAGAGGCATTCCCGGGGTGGGGATTGTACCTGGAAGCTGCCAAAGCAGCTGCCCATTGCCAGGGTGACACGAGAGGCATTCCCGGGGTGGGGATTGTACCTGGAAGCTGCCAAAGCAGCTGCCCATTGCCAGGGTGACACGAGAGGCATTCCCGGGGTGGGGATTGTACCTGGAAGCTGCCAAAGCAGCTGCCC